ATAGACTACTTGTTTTCTATATTACTGACAGCTCTGCATAAAGGGCAGCTTCATTTCCAAGATGCTAACATAGGATCTGGAAAAATACCTCCCTGGACTTCCGTGTATTTCCTATGTTACGTTGGGGAAATGAATTGCTTTTTCCTCATCTGAATTTCACATTTGCATAAAAAAAGAGTAGTTCCACTCCACAGGAATTATGAAAATAGAAGATATCAGGATTCGACATGCAATGATACTCATATTATTATATTCACATGCCATCTCTGTTTGGTCTGCTCTTGGATTGTTTCATTTATTGAGTAGTTTGTATGTGTATTGCACATACAGTACATTAACCATCAGCAAATTTTGCACTTATAAATATGCAAAAGTACTTAAAATTCTATCTTTGTTTCTTGTTTCAAAGACTTTTAATAATATGTTATTTACATAAAAATTCTACTATTCAGAAGATACTTTTAAACTTATGTAAAACGCTGTCAAGCCTTAATTTTAATATATTAACAGTCCTCAGTTTAGGAACTGGAGGCAGAATTTTCATTATGTTTAAAGGGAATCAGTTTCCTCTTTTCTCTATACATAACTTTTAAACTCATTATTGATGAATAAACAGTAAACAGAACTTATTACCCTGCAGACAATACTGTGTAAATAACAGCTCCAAAACTAGTAACAAGAATTGTTGCCCCTGCACACTACCTGCCTATGCAAAGCACTAAAATAGAGGGAGACAGAAGATAAACTATTTTCTTTCCCTTATTTGAATCAATCTACAGAAATGTCATCAGTACATACACAGTTTCTCTTATCCCATGTCTAAGCGAACTGTCAGTTCAATATGTCTCTAAATTCTGTTACCTTCATACATATAAATGGAACAATAAGAGATTACAAGATTAAAATACAAATCACAACCAATTAGACCTTGTCAAATTTTGTCTTGACACAGAAAAGCTGCAAAAATGTTAACCTTGACCTTGAGCATGTATTAAAATCAGGGACTATCAGTTGATAATCAGATAAGTGCTCTCTGTGGAAGAATAGAAGACCTCGACCAGTGAGGGTACTAAAAGCTTGCGAAAATCTGATCCTGATGTTATCCAGATGCAAAGTGTTAACCTTTCGTAGAGATGAAATCTGAAACCCTGGAACAAGGGTCAAGATAAACAGGTTCCATTTCTGGCCCAATAGCAGACTCCTAATGTCAAATGCTCACTTTGCTGTGACCTTGTTCCCAAATGTAGAATGAATACAGGAGTATTTACTTTGCTTGCCTTTTACTCTATCATTGGGATAGAGCCTAGAAAGAGACTGAGTATTCTGGTGTCAGGGTATTTTAAACTACTATAACATGAACAGGAATAGCCTTAAGGTCTATATCCTTCATTTTTCTGGGTTGTATTTTTTGTCACTCATATTGTGTTAATTGATTATTATGCACAAATTATGTTTTTAATCAGAAGTAGTCTTTTGCTTTAGCTCTTGTACTTTGCTCACAAGAAGCACTTGTGAAATATATAACTTAATACACTCTTTGTTCATCTGACTTTTTTGTGTGTTCTAGAGTATATAAATATCTTAAACAATTCAGGCATCGCATTCTCTTCATTCTTTTTCACTAACAGCCAGTTAATATTTGGGAACAATTTGAATGGCACGTACTGAATATATATACTGATACAAAAATGAATCTGGCATGCTTTCAACTGTGGTCTGCTACAAGAGGCATCATGTCCCCATTTAAGCCTAAATTTCTGATATTTTCACTTACTCTTCATACTTTGCCTCAAGAAGGTTATCTTGACCTCCAAAATAAAAAGAGGTCCATATGTTATGATAAAGAGCTATCTCAGCATTTCACAGGCTTCCTTACAATTGGTCTCCATCTCCAGACCACAAAGATCAGGTCTAACTTCATTACATCAATTCCAGTCTCACACTCTGTTACCCAAAGCCTGCCAGATGTGATCTCAGTATGAACAGGAGTGCAGAATCACTTTCCTGTATCTGCTGGCTTCACCCTTGCTAAAGCAGTCCAGAGTATGAGACTGCTTTTCTGGGTCTACTGCTGCCTTGGGGACAGCCTAGTGGCTCCAGAGGTCCCAGAGCCACGACTGCACAGCAGCACCCCAGCTGGTCAGCATCAGTTTATAATCTTGCTTCCAAGATGCAGCACTTCACATCCATTTTGATGAGCTTCCTGTCAGATAATTTGTCTCTCCAGAAGCCCTAACTTCTACTATATTGATCTCTTCATGAACATTTTGGGTCTTCTGCAAGCATAATGAGAGTGAAATCTGCACCATTATTCAGGCTATTAATGAAGAACATTAAACATTATTAGCCTTGGTATTTATCCAGAAAGTACAGCTTTCTGATCACTGGCTTGGCTTTGTATTTATGGATTGCAAGAGTAAAACCAGCAGTCCTGGCCACTGTCACACTGTAGGTTGCTTATCTGGTTCATATATCACCTACCTGGTAACAAAGGTACTATGAAAGCTGCATCAAAGGACTTTATGAAGTCAGGGTAATCAAATGCAGGCATCTTTGTCTTCTCATCAAGACCATCACATTGGATAGGTATGATTTGCACAGACCTGGATTTTCCCAAACTTGTTAAATAATGAATTTAAGATCAAGGCCCACCTCTGTTCTACAGTTCATATAGCAGCTGTTAAAATATAAGATGCTACTTATCTGTCATATGTGATTATTGTGATATTTCTAAATTAACAATTCCAATTTAAAATAGGAAATAAGTGAAACAAAGCTGCTATAAATAACTATAACCTTAAAGGGATCTGTATACCATTCAAATTCCTCATCAGAATGTTGAGGTTTGCTTCTATTCATTACTTTGTTTATTAACTCTGATAATTCCATATATTTTTGTCATACCTGAGAAATATTTTGAGTTTCTGAGACATAGAATTTTAGGATCATGTAGTAAATAGAATGGATGAAATATTCAATAAAATTTAGTGTATTGATACAGAAGTATTGGTGCTAATTTCACCTTGCATGTGATTGAAGAAATAGGTAACATCCAATATACTTCGACATTGCTTCTGCTTATTATATGTGTATCTAAGAAGTAAAACATTTTTTGCTGCTTGAGAACTGGATACTTTTGATTTCTTTGTCTGACCTTATAATATTGAAATGTTGTGTAAATAACTTTTAAAAATATTCTTACTGTTTATACCATCCACATATACTGATATACTGATATGATACAGATTTTTGCCAGAAAACAGAATAAAAACATTTGTTTTTAATATTTCACTTCTAATATATTTAAAAAAAAAACAACTGTTCCATTCACAAGAAATGAAAAATGTTAACAAAAATGAATAAGTTAGCAACTAGAAAAACTATGTATATTTCATATATGTATAGAGATATATGTATATCTACTAGTCTCCGGGATACCTAGGGAATGGTCACAAGGTAGTTATATTCTAGCTTGAGATCGTTCTTCTCTGTATTTTTTTATCCTACTCAAGAGTGGCTTTTGGCAAAGACATGTCTAAATCATATGGGATGTTGCTTATTAGTTGCTTCATCTTGTCATTAATTTGATAATGACAAAGAACTCTCCTTCTCAAAGTATCAGTGTTTTTTAGTGTAAGGTGTTGCTAGGATTTGTCTTTTTCACTAGCTGCTAACATATACTTACACACTTTATTCAATACATTCAAAAACTTGTGAAGACTCCTATTTCTTTTATTCTATGTAGCAAATACTGTTTATGTGTGATAACCTACCTTGGTTTGGCTAGCAGTGGACTAAGAATACAAACACACATTCAAGTTTGTCAGTCTTTCTAGTAATCAGTAAAGCAATCTTGATGATCCAAGACAAATTCTGCACTGAAAAGAATTTAGCATCTCTGTTAGACTATGTTAGACTACGCAAATAGCTCTAAATACATACATTTTGAGTAGTATTCAACCTTTCAAAATAATTATCAAAATAATATGAGCTACTTGTTTTGCAGTGACACCAACAAGTTTTCAGACATTCCACAATTTTACAGTAGTGTATCTTTTCTTTCTCTCTCATAAATGAACATACATTATTGAAACTCTGCCTTTACCACTTCTTTCTTTCTTCTTTCCTTTCTTTTTTTCACCCTTTTCTTCTTTTCCCAGTCTAGTATCATCCAGGTTTTTTAGCAGTTGTCCAAAGAGGAAAATGGATTTTCACTGAGAAACTATATTGTGAGTAAAAAGCAGATCTGACAAATTGAAAACCTTCCTGACTTATCTTCTCCACAATTTCCTACTAGCTATAAGAAAAGTGTGATTTTTCAACATCTATCAGGAAAGAAAACAAAACTCTGAGTAGAACTGAGATACTGGTGCCCATGGATATTAAAAATCTTAGACTCAAAGGATGAGAGATTCACTTTAATGTGTTTGCATAATTCCTGTGTGCGTGACTCTAGTGCTGCTCTCACTTTAGCTCTTACCACGTGAAAAATAACATGTGGGCCTCCCTCAGAGATAATTCTTGGACCACCAAGGCTTCTTACTCTGTCCTTCACCCACAATTGTCTCCCATGAGAAATGCAGTAGGAAGTAAGGCTAATTTAATTAGCACCCAAATAATCTTACTTAGGTTTTTTTTTCACCAGTTTGTCTTTTACATCCATAGACTACTTTTTATCTACATATTCTTTATCATTGAATATTTCCCCATGTTCATGTCTATATTTTATAATAATTTATCATTACTTTCAGATAGTGCTTTTAATTGTCTAGAAAGGACGAAGAATCAGAATGAGATGACATCAAATTTGCAAAATAACATTATGAACAGATGAAGTTGCATACTGATTTAAAGATGTGTTTAAGAATTTTACAAGGGAAATCAAAGTCCTCTACAGTGCCATGGTAAGTGTATTTTTAATTTGTGTTTGTTGCTAGAAATCAGCAGGTTTTGTAAATTTAGTCTAAAATTAATCTCCAAATGTGTAAGACATCACTTACTTGGAGTTGAGGCTGATCAGTTCTGCCACAGCTGGTGCCAACATTCTGTCAGTCAAATTCTTAACTGGGTTATAAAGGGTGAGGAAAACAGTTGCTTTTTACTCCCACCTGAAATGAAATACAGTGTCAGTTGCTATTTTTCTTCTCTCTCTTCCAAGTGCAGTAAGACATTTATTACATTATTTTAGCCTGTCTCATTAGGGGGTCATCAAAACAGTTACACAAAGAATGGAAGCAAAACTATTTCACTCTTTGAATTTCTCCTTGATGTGTGATACAATATACATATAAATAAGTGCTCTAAACAATAATTTATTTAGTGTATATTTATTCATATATATATATATATTTATTCACATAATGTATGTATTTCTAAATTTTGATGCTGAAGAAATTAGTCAGATAATTTAGCAGTAGCAAATAGAGGTGTTTTAGAGCAAAGTAGTTTAATGTAGGAGCCTAAATAAAAAAGTTTCATTTTTATTTTTATCTTGAAGTACTATTTCTTCTTTACAAGTTTCTTCACCTTATTATGGACTATAGTCTTCAAATTTCTGACAAAATTATTCATAAAACAAAAGGTTAAAGAAAAAGTCTTTCAATTTTAAATTGCTATCACCTTTGAAAGGAAGTAAAACAAGTCCTAAGTGGCTTAAAGAGCAACTAATATGATATGATGTATGATATTATATATGATATATTATGTGAAATTATATATAACATAACATAACATAACATAACATAACATAACATAACATAAAAGACAATGGGGAAAAGAAGGTTCTGAAAATCATAACCCCATCAGTTTAACTTAAATACCTGGGAAAAAAAAAATTATAGTATCAGTCTTTATGAAAGCTATTTGCAGGCAGAAGAAGGACAAGCAGTAGCAACGTGGCAACAGAGAGATCTCTGAAGGGACACAGATATGCGTGAAGATATGCAGAAAACCACAGTGGGGAAAACTGACATTCACTACGCCTAGAACATGTAAATAATTTTGTTGTCCTGTTACCATATGATATGTCTGTCCTTCCAATCAAAAGAAAACCATATTACAGCTCTCAGCTGTATTAAAATATGATGAATGGATTTCTACAACAGGCATAATTTTTCAGAAACCTGCTGACTTAAAACAACTTGATGGTGAGCTTGCATTGAGGGGTAGCAAAATGGACAGAATGGCAATGTTCAGAAAATCACAAGTGGCGTATAAAATTTCAGATCTTTATCCATCAACATTGCTTGCTGTAAAGGATATACAGCTTATGAATAAATGATTGGTTATAAAAAGACTCTACAAGAAGATGGATTTATAGTATATAGTTAGTTATTCAGTGCTGTATATAAATATTGGTTGGAGAGGCACAGCACATCTGACAAATTTATGGCCTTTCATTTGGAGTGTAAACATTTAGAAGAATTTGACTTTGTCACATACTGACATTATATTATGAATTAATCTTATTTTATTGAAGGCAAATTGCACACCTTTATTTCATCAGAAAAATAACTATGCTCTAAAATTAAAAAAAACACCAAGACAACAGTAATGCTTTTCCTATCCTCTGATTGTTTAAATAATTGATTAGTTGAAAGCAATTGAAATAATTTTATGCAATTAATATGCAATTTCCTAACAGCTGAAACCTCCTTTTACTATGTTCTAATTCTAATATAAAGAAACATATTCCTAATCTTAGACATATATATAATTCCAAGAAATAAAAAGTCTGACATTATTCCAGGAACACTTTTCACCTCCAGACTTACACAATTAGTAAACTCATTCTCTCGGAAGCCCTTTTGTAGTTGCTTCTTCAGAACAAGCTTTAGTGGAAGTTGTTTATACATAAATCCTCTGCTAAGAATAATTTAACTTAAAATTCTTACAGAATTGATCAGAAAAAAACTATTAATACAGAACTGAACTAGGGCTTTTTTTTCCAACTCCTGTAATATTTTTGAATTTCAAAATTAATTTATTCACAGGAATTCCAAAAGTGTTTGAAGACTTTGTCGGAAACCCAACAATTTTTCCAAAAGAAAAGCACAGGGAAATATGACCACATCTTCTTGATACTTTTAGACTGCAAGGAAAAGTGAGTAGAATGTGCAACTGAGAATTAAGTCTCTCCAAAGTGCTTCAGTGATAAATCTGCTTTGCTGTATATGTCATCACAATGCATGCATCTTGAAACCAATTAATAATGTCTTAACAGAAATTATTCAAATGGTGAATTTCCAAACAACTCTAGTCTGGAATTCTCCAAGGCAGAGGAGTGCAGGAGACCTATGATAATTAACTAATCACTGAATCATCACCAGAGGTTAGGAGGTAAAAATATCTTCTGTTTTGTTACTCCGAACTTGAAATTGGGAAAGAAACTTGAGCAGCAGCATCATGAGATTTTTCTCCCTCTCTTCAACTGCTGTAGGGAAGCAAACTGGGTACACATTTTCAGTTCTAGTGAAAAGCTAATTTCCCTCAGAATATCTTTTCCTTGTTAAATTTTAAATTAGAATTGTTTCTTTCAATATACTTCATATTTTCCTATGTTTTTTCTTGGCTTCTCTTTTTCCCAGAACTCAGTTTCCCCTTCCCTTAGTTCCACTTCTACACATTCCAGTGTCAGCAAACCTATGAACATTTTCAACATCTTCTTGCCAATCAGAGCAGTTGGTTTTTCTCTTTTTTAATAGGGATGCAGTTGGCGCAGTTATTTTTGCCTGTATTTTGCACTTGTTATCAGTTGGGAACAGAAGGAAACATCACTTTGGCTCCTGAATGAAAGCAACAGATAAGCATGATGCTTTGGGCTGTCTGCTACTTCTCTTCTTTGCCACAGCAAAGCACTGTGCATTATTGCCTCTCTCTTCTGTGATGCTGAAATTCCCTGCTAGCATGCCTGAATCATTTACATTTTCTCAGAAAATGGACTGAGAAAGCCAGACGCCAATATATAGCTGGCAGTGTTAGAAAAAAGCTTCAGCACTGACATTTACATATGTGCTTCTGGCCATAATTAATTCTAATGTACTCGATTCAGACCTATGACACTGTTCCACAAAGACAAAAGCTAGACATTAAAAGAAAGCTTATGAGGAGAAGTAATATCTCTTATTATTTCAGTTGACAGAAAAAATGGCAAGATTTTGGCACAAAAGCCCTTGTTCAAAGGAATATAGGGTAGAAGATTTCAGACACACTAGATGGATGCCACATGGGACTTGGGTATTATACCTTGTTTAAAAATTTATTTTTAAAATCAGGAAACATAACATGAGGTCCTGCCTCAGACATCACAGAAACAACACACCAGTGATCAGTCCCAATGTTTATGTGATACTCCTGATTTCTGAAAAAGGGAAAATAGTACACAAGGTATCCTTAGTAGTGTAAATTAGATTATAAAATTATATGTAAATTATGAAAATGACATTATATTCTTTTAGCTTCCATAAATAATACAGTGTTCAGTACGTCTTTGCACATTTCTTTGGACAGAAAGTTTGGCTATATGAGATGATACTTCCCTTTAAAAAAAATTATAATCCTTTTTCCATGTTCCTTCATTCACACATATGGGATATGACCCTACATTTTACAGTCTGTGTTTCAACAACTCATCCACATTTACAGTTACATAAACCTTTTGAACTCTGAAATTTCATTTATTCCACATATTTTACTTGCCTTTGTGATTTGCAGATAAATTTGTGTGGAGATTCATGTTTCAATTATCCTTTTTTATATATATGGAAACATTTTTAAATTAATAGAAAAAAATCACATCAAAATAATAAAGCAAATTTATGAAAATATATCTTACATAAAATTTCCATCCTTGAAAGTGATATGATTTAAGAGTAATTTTTGCTTTCCCAGCAAGAGAAGATTTATGCATTTGAGAGCTTAATTTCTCTCTTTAGTTAAATATGTCAAAACATTTTCCATTGAATAATTTCCTACAGACATAGTCATACAATTTAGAAATAAAATAAAACAAGCAAAAACAAGAGAGAACAAAAATAAAAATGTGTTGAAACCGTTTTAGTTGACTTCTAGGTTTGCAAGATTATGTTTATTCATTTTTATCCAGAATGTAACTACACTAAAAGCATGGCACAGAAAAAGTACAGAAGTTAGAACAATATTAAAATACACTTAGTTTCTGCCAATACTTGAGCACCACAGTTCTATTTCTAAATGTACAACATAACTTTTTAACTGACAACACTAACACACACACACACACACATACACAAAAAGAACAGAAACATAGACCTGTTGTCTTTACATGTCACATGAATTTCAGAATTTTAATCAGTTTATGATATTTGCATTACAAAACACTGCAATCCATGACAGAATTTCCTGCTTCCTCTTTATATTAGTAACCACTGTATCTTTATAAAAACTCTATTTATCAGCAAAAATTCATATACCTTCATACCTTGAAGAAACCTTCATACCTTGTTGAAAGAATCATAAGGAACCTGTTTTACCCTATCATGCTTTTAAGAAAAACGAGCTTATTAGTCTCCTGCTGCCCTCAAAGTTGTAAGTTTTGCATCATACTACCTATTTTACTGGCCTGTCACAACGAATTTTCCAGGCTTTCTTGACCCAACAAGAAGATTTTCATCAGCTGCAGTATCTTTTAGGTAAGATTGCAAGTCCTTACAGTAAGACTGCAAGTCCTTATACTACAAGAGATGACATGCTTGAGTTAAAAAGGAGTGTCACAAAAATACAGGGCAAATGCAGAAACAGCAAATCTCTAACATATCTTCACAGACTGCAAAGTATTAATAAAGTGATCAGTCTTTGATTCTGACTTAAAGTGACTTAAGGAACTTAAAGTGACTGAGATTGTCCAATTCTGATTTATGCCAGAAAAGTGATGGCTGTCCTATGAAAAAATAAAAGCAAAGAGATCTTCTAAAGCATTGTGGAATTATAAAAGCTGATTTCTGAGTACAGATTCTAACATCTCTGCCTGTTCCAAAATTGTAGTAGTTTACTAACTACTTGAAATCATAATTAACTATGGGTTTATAGAGAGACATTTTGATGATGTTTTAAAATATTTTGTCATGATAAT